TCGTAGAGACATGACACGGTGTGGGTGATAGTGGACCGGCTTATGAAGTCAGCACACTTTTTGGCTATGTGGATGACCTTCACAGTGGAAGAATTCTACAGGTTGTATATATGGGAGATTGTTCGGTTTGTATGGGGTACCTATATCTATAGTATCGGATTGAAATCCCAGGTTTACAGCTCATTTTTGAGAAAGTTTCCAACGAGCCATGAGGACACAATTGATGATGAGCACAACTTTTCATCCCCCAGATGGACGGTCAATCAGAGAAAACCATCCAGATATTAGAGGATGTGCTATAGACATGCGTCCTAGATATCAAGGGTAGTTGGGAAGAGCATTTACCCTTAGTGGAGTTCATCTACAATAATAGTTATCAGACGAGTATTCAGATGACACCCTATGAGGCACTTTCTGGGAGGTCTTGTCGTTCTCCAATTTATTGGATGGAGGTAGGAGAGAGACCCTCTACGGGTCCAGATTTGGTTAGAGACACCTCAGAGAAGGTGGACCTGATACGAAAACATCTTCTTACAGCTCAGAGCTGACAAAAGAGCTATACTGACTGACGACGACGACCTCTAGAATTTGAGGTGGGAGATCACGTCTTCTTGAAGGTGATGCCTAAGAGGGGAGTGATCAAATTCAAAAAATAAGGAAAGATATTACTGATGTTTATCGGGCCCTTCGAGGTACACGAGAGGGTGGGCACAGTGTCTTACAGACTGACGTTACCACCAAATTTATTGGGTGTTCACTCGGTATTCCATGTCTCTATGCTTCGGAAGTATATCCTAGATCAGACACATGTGGTAGATTGGGGCAAGCTTGTTGTTGATGCGGATGAGACCTTTGAGAAGGGACCGTTGCGTATCGTGGATAGTCGGAAGCAGGTTTTATGAGGCAAGACAGTGAAGCTAGTGAAAGTGCTGTGGTAGAACTGAGGCATGGAGAAGGCGACATGTGAGCATGAGGATACCATATGTGCCAATTATCCGTTTTTGTTCAAGGATGGATATACATTTCTATAAATTTAAGTATAGCATTAATGTTACATATACATGCGGTTAAGTGTGTATGTGTGTATAATTTTAGGGACAAAATTCTTTTAAGGGGAAAAAAATATAAAACCCAGGTAAATTTGAACTTTTCACAGAAAAGGGGGGCAAAACAATAATTTGTCGTTATGGTATAGGTTAAAAACTTGAATTTTTTTTGGATCTCAGATGACGAAACGGACTCTACAATTGGATTCGTCTCGTGAAATCTAGCTACCCTGTCAAATTTCATTGAATTCTGAGATAGTCGAATTTTTTACGTTTTACGAGACGGTCGAGTCTCGGGTGACCCAAAAATAAAATTTTAATAAAATTTTATAATTCAAAAATTAATTTAAAATAAATTAAAATAAAAATATTTTAAACTTGAACCGGTACAAAATTAAACCGTTTCGGGGTGAAAATAGACCCGAAACAGGGTCGTGTGGCGCATTGTGGTCCAAGCAATTGAAGGGTATAAATAGGGGGAAAAAATCTGAAATTCTCTCCCCCAACTCAACCGGTCTTCAACCGATAGAAAGAGAGCGCAAGAAAAGAGGGAAAAGAGAGAGTTTTCCACTTTTCTCTATAATCTACGAAATTCTAACGGTTGAATCCGCTCGGGCCAAGAGGAAAAGTAGTTCTCCTTAGCATAGACTACTAGACCATACCAAAAATTGAAGAGTTTACCAAAGCTCCAAAAAACGGGGCTTGAGAAAATCAAGGGTTTGAGCTTGATTGAAGTTCTAAAAGGTCTTCTAAGTGGATTTCATGCTTCAAAAGGTAAGGTTACTTCCTACTTGGGTTTATTTTACAACCTAGGGTGTTTAATTGTAATGGGTAGGTTGATAGAGATATATATCACTTGCCTATATTTGTGAAATTGATGAAATGGGTAGGTTGGTAGAAATATATATCATTTATCTATGTTTGTGAAATTGAAATAGGTAGGTTGATAGAAATATATATTACTTACCTATGTTTGTGAAATTGATAAAAAGGGATATGAAAATAGATATAAAAATGGTTTAAAATAAATTCCTAGCATGAAATTGGTATGTGGTAATTACTTGTGTGATTACATGAAAATCAGTGTTATGTGGGCATCCTATGTGTTTATATTATGCCTTGCAAATGAATTGTGTTATCGGCGAATATGAAGTAATAACATATTTGTGATATATTGTTGGGTATAAAAATGTTGATGTATGCTTATAGATATATCGACATTGTGATGGAATTAGTAATTATATGCATATGATATAATTAGCTATAGAATATGAAAATATGTGGTTAAGTTTGCTCATGTGGCATTCATTACATATGAGCATGACATTGATATAACAATGATGCATTACATTGCATTTGCATGGAGGAACCGCATCCATGGACATGAGTGTGGGTGTGAGTGTGCATGGTTGACATCATACATTACGTAAGTAGATGATAGGTGGGCTCGGGAAAGTTGGATTGAAGATCCGACTGAGTTGCATGGTTGCATGGAAAAAAGAATTAGGTCGGAGTTAGTAAGAAGAGCTAGACTATCCTTCGAGTGAGAGACCCAGTGATCGGATACGCACTCTGTTGGTATAAAACCCCATAAAGTGTGTTGATATACGCGGAACCGTTGGTGAAAATTCATAAATTCTGTGTCGGTTGGGTGTCGTTGGTGTAAATCCATAAATACCCACTCCAAGAAAGACCCGACAATTTCTTAAAAATAGTCATTGGGTGTGTAACGCCAATGGCAGGGCCTTGGAAAGCTCTATTTTATGCTCATGGCATTGCATGGGGGGGGGGGAAATGAGCAGATGAGGGTTTGGATTAAAGGGCATGAGTGAGTCTCTTCTCATTTCATAGCATGACATGCTAAAATTCCAACATTGAATAGTGTGTTTTTGTTGGGATGTTGTTGCTGTTAAATGTTGCGTGTGAGTATTGCATATGCACTTAAGTTGGGGAGTAGCCTCTGTAGAATATATTCTATTGAGCATGACTCACCCTATACGGGAAAATATTTCAAGTGCGAGTGGTACATTGGTGGAAGGCTCTCACTCGGGGCCTTAAGGATGAAGAAAGTCGGGATGTGGCTTTATTTTGAGTTTTGTTATAAATTATTATGAAAAATTTAGTTTGACATGTAAATGAATGTAATAGAATTGGTATGAATCTTGTGTTCTATGAAAATTGTCATTACACCTGTGTTGGATGGAAAGGGGATAGGTTGAAATGAATTGGAAATAAAAAACAGGTGAAATAGAAAAAATTGGACAAAGCCTACCGGTACAACTTTGTCCAGCAAGCAAACTCTACTGGTAGAAATTTTTCAGTAAGTTCACCCTACCGGTAGGCCTTCCAAAAATCTGAAATTTTAAAACTGTTTTGTCATACTCCTGGACCATGTGTCTTTCCTTCCAAATGATGTAAATGGACTATAATGGAGTATGAAATGTGGTACATTGAACCACGATTTGATTAAATGATAAAATGTACATGGGTTAAACGAGTGGGTCAAAATCCTGATTAAGGGGATGTTATTGACGTGACGTCGAGTTGTGCGACAACTATGGGTATTTCTGCGGATTGACAGATGGTCAACGATTGAAAAAGGATCCCCGATTTTAGGGGCGTCACACTAACCAATAACGTTATATGAAAATAACACTGCTTGTATTGCATATATCAAATGCGAATTTATCAATGGGGATAGAATCAAACGTATGTCACTAAAGTTTTTTACATTCATTAGTTCCAGTAGCGTCACGAATTTGAAATAAAACAAATATATTCTAGTGATAATCTTACAGATTTATTTACTAAAGTTTTACTATCATCAATATTTAAGAAATTGGAATGGGAAATAGGAATGCATCTGGTTTGTGGCAAATCTAGTTGATTTCCTATTAGGGAGAAAATTTCATCAAAGGGAGAATTTCATGGGGGGGGGGGGGGGGAGCATCCAAATCAAAATATTGGACTATTTGCATGCTACTATTTTTCGTTTGTCCAAGTTTTGTCCCACTGGATTTTTTTAGCATGGTTTTAATGCAGCAGCACTAGTGCGTACAACACTATTATAATATTCACGAGAATATATACTTTTTTCATTTGCTAAGTTTTTTTGTACATGATTTTCCTAACCAGATTTTACCGAAAACATATTATCTTATCATAATAGTCATCCAAAGGAAGTGCTGTAAATATTGGAAAACTTTATGATCAAATATATGATCCATAACCTTTCAATTAGTATCCAAGTAATTAAGAATTAGTGGGTGTTTTTTAGTTATCCTATCTATTCATATATCAACTTAGTGTTATATTTGAAAGATTATAAAAAAATATCTTGATCACAACTAGAAATACAAGTTGTGGTGACCAATTCTCTAACATATCCATAGTTAGGTATATCAAAATACTATACGATACGATTAATCGACACGAATTGATACAGAGTTACATAAGTTTTGGTGAGGTCTTAACGGGTGCGGGTAGTAAGCAAGTGAACCCGCTAGACCTACTTAATAAATGAGTTGTGTGTCGAGTGAAATATGTCAACTCATTTATTGACCGTTTATAATTTAAAATAAAATTAATATAATAATTCAATTTTTTTAGTCAGGCCAATATATGGAGTATAATAATTGGATTATTTAAAAATAATTATTAAACAGGTTAGATGACTTTTATCGGGTAACATGTTCGATAAACGAATCGTGCTCAATTTATAAATTTTCACCAATTTAATTAAACAAATTATGTACGAATTAAATAAAATTTTAATGTAAATCTGATTAAACCCAATATAGTTAACACACCTATGAGCTATATTTGGTTTGTTCATATTTTATAGCATCGGTGTACCCATGGCTAGCAGCGAAGTTATAATCAGATAACTATTTATTGAAAAATCAACACAACTCAAATAGAAGTCTAAATTGGCTGATTGTTGGATTCTTGGTGTGTATCATTACCCCTATTTATTTTACCACAAAACTGCAGAGGGAGGAAGATACAAATGCCCGTCTCCCAGTGCGACCGACTCTACCAAGCGCTGAGAGACTGCCACCGTCGACTCCCGGCGGGGCCACAGCGGGAGGCAGCGTGCCGCCACCTGAACCGCTCGCTGGCTGAGTGCTTGGTGGCGGTGTCGTGCCCTGATGAATCTGAGGCCGTCAAAGCCCTCTGTTCCACCGGTGGGACCGCTCTCAAGCGATCTCAGTGCCAACAAGCCCAGCTCTCCTTAGCTGTTTGCCTCTCTTCCCATCAAAGCCAATCCTAAATCCTAATACCATAACCCACAAATTCCTCTCTCTGTTCACTTCGATATCAAAGCGCACCAATCCCTTCTTTTTGTAAGTATTTTTTAGTTCATTGCAATTTAATTTAGTTGTCATGTGAATATATTTTGGCACAAACACACACGCACAAAAACACACGCATGTATGTAGAGACGCGTATATCTGAGGGTCACAACCCAGTAAATATATGTTGCTCTGAAAACAGGCAACATCAATTTGAACAATGCTCTAATTTGATGCGTGTTTCTTGTGTATAATCTATTTATTACTGATTCATGTGACGCATTCATCCAATAAATTTGTGTCTTCTTACCTACCTTAAGTACTAGAATAGGAAGGGTAGAAGCCCATCACCTGATTTTACCACCAGTGGGAAACCCTGGTTGAAGAGGCAATCTAATGGGAGCCCCAGTGAATTTTCCACCGGGTGCAATTACAAAATATGTTTCTTTGATTTTAATTTGTTTTTCGTTGGCAAAGACAAGTAAATTTGCAATTTAATTACTTTTTTTCTCATAAGTCACGTCTGAAAAAGGAAAGAGAAAAAAGGGGTTTCTCATGACTTCTTTTCATAGAACTGAACCAAATGGTGCATTGATTATTTTCATTGTTAATATAATCTAATTGAATTCAAGTTGGAAGTTGAAATTACTTATTATGATTTTGATTGTGAAAGATCCTATTATTTAGGAATTAATTAGAACTATTTCTTTGCATCATAGATTTTTGTCAGCTTTAGAAATCTTTCATTTGCATCCGAAAGAAGTTGTCGGTCAAAAATATCTCAATTTTTAGTATCTTCATTGGTGGAGAAGTATTTTATCTGTCTATGTAATTAGTAATTCTCTTTTTAGCAGCAACTATATTGGTATTTTTTTATATTGATTGTTACACTTAAAAAATGGCAAATATATAGTTTATCTTTTCTTGGGGAGTCACACGCCTGAATAGTAAAGAAGAATTCTCAAGTTTGTATTAATTGGAGTGTTAGTGTTTCACAGTTAATCTTAAGATGGTAATTGGTCCAAAGTTCCTTTATTTATTTTCCAATCAGGGTTGCTCGGTTTATCTGATTACAATTTGATAACTAGTCTTCAGCAGACAGTTGAACCATCTTAATAGCTTGTCCTCAATAAGGGGCCTTGAATATCTTATCCTAAATGAAATGATATTGTCTTTGTTTTTGGGAATTGGGTTTTGTTCCAACAATAATTGTTTGTGAATTAGGTTCAATCTGATGTAAATTTTATAATTAGCTTAGGTTCAATTTTAAATTTAGGGTATGATCTATTTCATTTAATATGTGGATTTGCAATGACATTTATTTTGTTTAAATTCAGGCAATTGGATTTGTGTTGTCATTGCTATTAATCCAATCCCAGTAATTGGATTTTTTATTGATTGCTATAATTTTTTTTGCTTGAAAGTTATACTGAAATGCATCTACATTGAAATTGGAGTACTGAATTGGATGTAGTTATTTATTCCTATTTTATCTTTAATTCATTTTTGTGTTGTTAGGGAACTCATTGATATTGTTGCTGTACTTGGTAAATGATTTCATTATGTTTGGGTCCTATTTACTTTATGTTTCACTCCTATTTATGTCTTGATTGTTAAATGGTGATATGTTATCTATGATCAATGCCATAATAAAGGCAACAAATTAAAGAATCCGAAATTAATTGGCAATAACTTGAATTACATTCTCTACTTATGTTGAGTTATGTTTGTAATAAGGTGTTAATATAGATCAACTGGTTACAATTTTGACCTTTGCATGATTGAAAACAATATTTTACATTACGGGCATGTTATCTATTGGAGTAACGTATTCTGTAGTTATTCCGTCCAATTTTTGGAGTTTTTATTGTAAATTTGGGAAGTTGAAAAGAATAATACTCTTAGTTGCAGTTTTGTTTTTGCTTTTTCCTTCTTCCCCTCTTTGTCAATTGCCAAGTGTGTGTGCCATCCTTATGATACATATCAAGTGTGTTTATATATGATTGAGAAAATAATGCATTCATCAATTGTGATAAGGCTTATTGCAATTGTCACAACTTGGACCATACTTTGCCATAATACATAAGCAAAGTGTTCTTATTTGGGGAGGTGGTTCATCCTTTAATCATCTATTACTTTGGGAGCCATTTAAATTGTAACGAGTTTGTTAATGCATACAAAGCGAGAAACATGGCATGTGAGGTGAGTCAAATTGTTTTTTCGGGTGGTGCAGTTGATGACTGTTTGGAATTTCATATGAAAATTTTTGGTTTTTACTAGGTTATTTTGTTGAGTGTTTGAAAGTTGACGAGAGTTTTATCAATTTGGGATATTTTTTTTAACGTAAATTGAATGTTAATGGTATTTGTGAATTGGTTTGCTTTAGGGTCATGAAATTGGGTTAGTTGTTACATTGTTGTTTTACAACAGATGTGTTGGTGGATGATTTTGATCTTTGTTATGTTGGCTTGGATTTATTCCAGGTGGTTGGAGGTGGAGTTAGGTGATGGTAGTTCTAAAAGAGGTGTGTGATGGTTTTTGGTTAGGTAACAAAGTGCCCGTTCGAGTGGTAAGGTAAATTTTATGTGAGTCGGTTCATATTAGTTTGTGTGTGATTCAATAATAAAATTGAAAACTATTATTTATTTTTTGTTTCAATTGTTGTGTGAATTGGTTTGAATAGTTCTTTGCATGATTTGATTTTTGGGTGTGGTCTTATATTTCCTTTTCTTTCTTTCTTTTTTTTTTCCGTATAATTTTGACAAAGAAATGAAGATATATAAAAGAGTTTGGAGAAAAAAAGACCATATCTGGTGGAGTAAAACTTTACGAGGGACCTTTTTCGATGGTCCATATTGGTAACAACTTAAGCTTCTCAGTAGGCCGTGCATAACTTCTTTTAATAGTAACCATGCAATTCCCTAAAGGTTATTGTTGCTCTTTTATTTTTATTTTTTCAATAGTAGGATTGCAACATAATTTATTGGTTTTTTTCCCATGACAATATTCGATTGTGAGTCTGTTGTACATCACAAAAGTTTTTCAGGTAGTTGGTTGAAATTAGTTTTTGTGTGATGGTTATATATGTTAATTGCTTTCAAAAGAGTTGATAGTGAGTGGGTTTGTGAATGTTTTCAAACCCTAAACTACAAAAGTGGAGGATCCAAAAACAGAGAACCCAAAAACGACAAAATTGATCCAAAATTATTCCACCCAAAACCATGCCCATAGCCGAGTTGCGACTAACTCTTCCTCTCTTTGGTCCTCTCCTGCCCTCTCTTTGTCTCTTCATATGTTACACCTTTTCAAATTAAATTATATATGAAGAATTGAATTTTAACTGTTTGATGAAATTACCAAGAGGGCCAATCTTTTTATATTATATCCAAGTTGAGTTTGCGAAATTTGGTATTGTTGATTTATTCTAGGGTCGCCGAAATTGAGTTTGAATCTTTGATCAAGGCTAGGTTGAGGGAGGGGGAAGGATTTGAAAGGGAAGTATATGAAAATTACTTTAAATATTGCTTTTGGTGCGGACGAGTGCATATTTTGTTTGAGCTAATGAATGTGCTTTAAATTTTCGAAAGTTTATTGATTGGGTGACTTTGCTTCTCTCCAAGCTCATCCACTGCCTCTACCTAACACACAGTGCCAAGGCTTCGTCTTTTATTATATATTACTTTTTTTTTTGCTTTTTAATCCTTTCCTTTAAACTTTTACAAAAATAGTATAAATTTTTGTGAGAGATTTTGTCTGGCTTCTTATGGTTTGTTGCTTTTCTCTCTATTTCCTTTATACTTTTAGAATAACAATATTCATATAGAGTAATGCGATGGTGTCCAATAATTTTGAGTCACACGTGGTGATTGTTGCGGGTGCCAACAATTAGGGTTGAGGGAGATAAATGATGATTGTAAAGGCGAGAATCATTTGGAGTGAGATTTAAGAGTTATTTCCCTAACTAAATCAGAATTTTGGGATGAATTAGCAAGTATATTTCCAAGTTATTAAAACATAAAGTTGTTAGGGAATAGCAACTCAATTTTGGAGGTTTTGATTTGATTAGTTGGACAGAAGCACTTCTATTTGTCTGCACATGTACCACTGTTCTCCTTTGTCCATTGGAAAGGTCATCGAGCACATTAATGTGTTTGTTCGTTTGCAGCATCTCTCTCTCTTTCTCTCTTCTCTCTTTTCTCTCAGCCTATGCTTCTTGGGTAAGATGAATGTAAGAGTATATGAGCTGTTCAATTTTCTTGGATTCCACATTTCTATAACCTATTTGATAAAATTTCTCTTTGGAGTTTTAGATCCTTCTTGAACATTCAAAGCATCTAAATTCACATTCTCGATTTTGCATGGATAGTCAATCTAAAGCATTCCACATATAAATGGATCATAAGAAATAAACCTGTTTTTTTTTCCAGATTAATTAGTGTTCGATTGAAGTAAACCAGATAAGAAATTGAGAGTTTAGTTGTGATGGATTTTCTAGAATAAGTTTCATCCGTATAAGCATGCATCATAAATAAATTATAATTTCATTGCATGGGAAATTCTTCTGCTATGAAATAGTTCTTGGTTTGGGACAAGAAGTCTATCAAGAAGTCAAGGTAACCTATTCTCTCTCAGCTACATATATGATCTAATTTGTATGATTCTTATTGTAATTTGTAGGCTGATTTTAATTGCGTAAAATTGTGATTATTTTGATTCTAATCTCTATGTTTGTGTTTTGCGCCAAAAGTTAAGCGAAGTTCTCATCAACTTAAGAATTTTGTCTAAATTGAGTGAAGGCTCTTCGGTAACTTTTGTGGTATTTATTTCTATCTACTTGAATCTTCCAAGTTAAAGTCACGCCTTCCAAATTCTATGCATGATTTATGTTGGATACTAATCTTGTGGAGGCTTAAGGTGAACCTTTTAGGTGCCGATGTGCTTTATTGTATTTAGGATGTTACTGCCTTTTGTCTTATTTCACAATTAGTGTATGCAATCAAGAAGGATCATATTATTGACGTTTTTGTCCAATGAAGATATGATAAATCACTTTTTTGGGTTCTTTATATTTCCGTAAATTCATATGTCTGGATATTTTCTTGTGTTTGTTTGTTCAATTGAATCAAGAAATGACATCAGTGTTCATTTGAGAGATGTGGAGAATTTTAGATATTCATTTGTACATTGATTCCTTATTTATCTGGAGTTTGTGTTTGAATTTGGTAGAGTAATTTCGATGGAAAAGTGCTACCAATTACTAGCCTTTTATCTAGAGCTTGTTTTAATTTTCTTTTTATATTGTAGCAAAATTGAAACTTCAATTTGAATTTGGGATTTTGTTTCGGCATTGGACTAAACAAGGTTAGGTTCGGTGCATACATTTTTTTTTTCTTTTGTAGTGTATTTTCTGAAAAATGATCCAAATTGACTGTTTTTTTATTTGTTACATAATACCTTTAAGGGCATATTTTTATGTATGTGAATTTTCATGTTTAAAGGAGTTAGAATATATAATTTCATTGTTAGTGAATCAATTTTTTATTGGGTTCAATTGACAATTGTGGATTTAATATTAATATTATGATGTCACAGTCGTTGACAAATGGTTGTTTTGAGCCATGACTGTGGCATGACTGTGAGTTACGTAATTGGTTTTAGTCTTGTTTTCTTTAAGCATGCCTGTACTAAATTACTAGCCTTTAAATTCTGCTATGTTTTTAGAAAAAAAGTTCCTTGAAATTTTCTTGTTTCTTTTTTTTTCTCTAACTTTTGTGTGCATAATGTAGTGCACGCAATGCTCTTTGCCCAATGTTTGTTTGTGTTAAACACTGTTGGCCACTGTATCAGTTGGTTACCCTTTTTATTGGGAGGATATTAGTTAAAATACTAATGATGAATTGTTGTTTGATCCAGTGTTATTTAAGGCGTAAAGTGAATTGAAGCGACAAGACTCCTAACGCCTAGGCGAGAAGTGAAGTGACACGCTTTATCGAAGCGAAGAAAACAGTTAAAAAAAAATAATAAATATTTTAGTTTAATAACTTCTAAACAAGTTTTAATTTTATATATACTAAATATTTAAATGCAAGTAAAATTATAAAATTTAAATTAAAACAAACACTAATGATATCTCAAATCTAAATAACAGTCATATCTTAAATATTTAAATTCAAACAAACAATAATAATATCTCAAATTCCAATATTTAAAAACATAAGATACACAATTTAAGCAACTAAAGAAACCATCTCAAGGATTAGCAATCAATCATTATCATTAAAAAATCATCTTTTTCATTATTCTTAGATTTATATCCCTTTGTATCCTCCTTCCTCTGCCTTATCTGAAATTATGTCGTCCTCATCTATGGGTCCAGTGGTTGATCTTGCAAACCTTGTGTTACCCTAGTAGATGGTGTTGATCTAGTCTGTTGGCTACTTTCCTGAACTTTAGAAGCTTGAGCAACTTTACCCCAAGTTAAAGTATCATCACCAAACACAAGCTTTTTATCTTCATCTGTTTTTGCATCCATTCTCCTAATTAACCACTTATTGTTATCATCAATATCCTTAAAAGATATTGGATCAATTGTGTCACAGGAATTATATTGGCATCTCAAAACTCTATTTTACTTAACAAACACCAAATCATTGAGGCGAGATTGAGCTAGTCTATTTTTTTTTTTTGTGTATCTGTAATAATTTATTAACGATACATTAAAATTTATAATAAGATAAAAAAATATAATTAAAGAGGTTTGAGGATGATACTCACATGCTCAAACACACTCCAATTTCGCTCACAACCGGATATACTACAAGTAAGACTTAAAATTATTTTTGCAAAACTTTGCAAATTTGGAGTTGCAGACCAGTATGCACTCTACTAATCTGCTGTGAATAATGAATAACAATTAATTAACTAACATCTTTAAGCAATGATAATGAAATAAGCTTGTTGGATAACATAGATTACCTAGTGCCCTCGTTGTTCTTTGTCTAACCACCATGGGCAACTTAAAGAGGTTTCTAAACATTTTTATAGGTCATTCATGACTTCTTGATCTTTCTCAACCTCTAGATTGTAATAGAAAAACTCTCGGTTCAAAAATACCTAGCTGCATGTAAAGACCGATGCAATTGAACTTCTCACTTTTGGTCAAAGATTTTAAAGATGTGTTTGTACTTCTCTTCATTGTCATTAAAAGAATTAGCAATCGCTTCTTTAGTCCGGTCCATAGCTTCATAAATGTACTCTATGGGAGGCTTCTTCTCACTATTAACCGACTGAAGCACACGAACAAGAGGGCCTGTAAGCTTAAAAGATAAGCTTAAGAGAGTAGACAACATTACTCCAAAATGAAGGCATTAAAATGATTTGTGTTGTCCTTTTGTCTTGTTGTTCTTTTGCTCATTTATTTGTAATCCATTCCTCTGAAGTGAATATTTTTCTCAAGTTACCTTTTTGTTGGTTGATCCTTGTTAGAGTAAGAAAAGTCGTAGCAAACCTAGTTTTTGCAGGCTTAATCAACTCCTTTGACTTGGTAAATCGTTTCAGCATATTTAACAGAGTTGGACGGTTATAAATATAACCGTGTAATGCTATTCCTCTCACAAATGTTCTCTTGAAGTTTGACAACTTGAAGATATCTTCCAATATTAAGTCCAAGCAATGGGCAACGCATAACGTCCAATATAGGTTGGGTCATTTTGCCTTCAAAAACTTTTCTATTAAATAAAGATTTTTTATCAACTAGTGTGCATAAAAAAATTTAATATAACAAGTAGTTATTTTTATTTTTCAAGAAGCTCATACCTGCAAACACATTTGTTGCTGCACTGTCAGTGACAATTTCGACCACATTAGTTTCACCAATACGCTCCACAAAATTATCAACCAATTCATACATTTTTAGCTCATCCTTTGAGTGTGCAGAAGAATTAACGGATTCAAAAAATATGGTCCCTTTTGGACAATTCACTAAGAAATTAATCAAGGTTTTTCCTTTCTTGTCAATCCATCCATCGGCCATTATGGAACGTCAATATTTTGCCCAATCCTCTTGGTGATCTTTCATCAATGACTTGATAACTTGATATGCCCTACTTCTTTGTTCAATAATGGGACCCGAATCTCATGGTAAGCAGGGGGTTTCAAATCAGGACCATATTGTCCAATAGCTTCAAACATTGTTGCAAAACTTTCATAGTTCACAACATTAAAGGAAAATTCCTGTGTCATTCATCCATCGGGCAAATGTTGTGATGACTCTTTCTCTCATTTCCTCTCTAAAAAGATCGTTGGCATCAATTAGCATCACAACAACAAAACAGCAAAACAAAACAACACAACAGCACAATCAGAAAGTAGCAGGATAGCAAAACAATAGCACAATTAGGGAAAAAAAAAAAGCACAATTAGAGAAAAAAAAAAACAGGAGCAAAATCAGAATTATAATCAGAAAAAAAAGAGAGTAGCAGCAGAAAAAAAAAAACGAAAAACCAGAAGTAGAAGAGATAAGAAAAAGAGGAGGCTAACCTCTAGTGATCGAGTCTCTGTCTAGAAAGAGCAACGATCAGCGAGATCAGTGGTTCTGTGTTCTGTCAATCAGCAACGATCTGTATCGTGTAGGAGCAGCGATTCTGTCGATCGTGTAGGAGTAACAATCGACTCTTTGTTCTGTGTCCAACGATCGACTGTGTTCTGTGTACAGCTCTAGCGATCAAGTCTATTGTTGAAGTGGTTCTGTGTGTCTGTGTCCAACAATCGAGTCTGTGGAGTAGGAGCATTGAAGTAATTTGAGTAAAATTAGGGTTTGAGGTTGTATTTATGGGATAAAGGGATAATTTGGTGTATCAACATCTTATCATTTTTTTTTTCAATTGCTCAATCCAACTGTCCATAATAAAAATAAAACAACTTCGTCTCTAATGCCTTAAGCGCTCGCTTTTTCGCCTTTTTCGCTTTATTCTCGCTTAGGTGCGCTTCTCAAAACACTAGTCTGATAAAAAAAAATTGTTGGGTTTCCTATGAATGTGCTTTAGTTTCAAATTTGAAAATTTTCTTGCATCAAATCTATGTATCTCATATTTGTGAAGGATGTTTCGTGATTGATTGCAAAATTACAGCGTTTTTGGTTAGTTTGGTTGAAATTTGGATCCGTATTGTTTGTTGTAATGTTATCAGAACTGGACTGGACCGGTTGGTCGGACCGATTCAACCGTGACTCGGGGCCTTAGCCGGTCCGGTTCTCTTGTTAGATCGCATAAGGAATTGAACCGCTAAAAAACCATCAAATTGCCTGGTTTTGACCAAAACCGGTGAACTAAAATATTTCTAAAACCCGTACCAGTCGACTCTTTGTCTTCGTTTTCTCCAGCACCAGTTCTCCATATCCAGTACTCGAACAACAGCGGTCACCACAGATGTCCAAGAGTCGAATTCCTCCATCACAGATTATGCTTTAGATAATGTGATGTGATTTTTATTTATATTATCATTGTAATTTTTATTTTGATTGTGGATATTTAGTTAAATTATTTTGTTTTATAATTTTTTTTATTTTTTTATTATACGACCGGTTCGACCAGTTAACCCAACGGTTAGACCAGTGAACTATGAACCCGGTCCTTCTGTTGGTTTGATGTCCGGTCCAGTTCTGATAACATTGGTTTGTTGTAAAGTGGTTGAGGGGGCAATATGTTGGCTATTGCCAATGAGGCATTGGCAATTGCAATTACTAAAATTTTGCTACTATATGCAACTATACTGTATAACTGTTGATGGTTAATATTATTATGTTGTTGTGATAGTAAACAGTTGTGTTTAGGCAGGACTATGACGTGATGGTGAGTCATGTAATTGGTTTTTGTATGATTATGAGGTATATGAATTGTTTAGATAGTTTGATATTTCTTTGGACTCCTATTTTTAGTATTAACTTTGCTAATTTTTTTTTGGAAAAATAGCGGGGCTAAGATTGGTTTAAAATTCTCTAATTAATGCAATGGAAGGAAAAATGTTTCAAATTGACAACTTTTTTATTCTATTATATAGTGTTTTTAGGTACTGGTTATTTTACATCGCCTCTGAAGCTTTTTATCTACATTGGGACAAGCATATCTCAGCAATATTGCCTACTGTGATACTGTTTTAAGTCGATGGAAAAGGAAAGACCATTTTAAGTTAATGGGAAGACAAAGAACATAGTTTTCACATTTTTGATTAATTATTTAACAAGGAGTACGTGGACAAAAAAATTACTACTGCCAGTAGTTGAATGTTTGAAAACTTTTCCACACCCAAATGTGAAAACTATGTAGCCTTTCTATTTGTTCCCAACGTTTATTGTGGTATTTTTTCATCGTTAGAGACTAACGTGACGAAGGTTTCAGGGCTATCTTTCACTGTCCTTTTATTTCCTTCCTTTTTTACCCTTATGTAGGAACTGAAGTTTCTCTCTTCATTGAGAAGATAGTACGTGTGAGTCCTTTCATGAGAAATCTGAATGCTGCTCCTAACCAACCAACAAAATCTGCTTCAGCTTTAAAAATGCTATCATCCAGAGTTGTCTCTTTGAATTCTATAGTATCGGATGTGGAAAACTTGGAGTACTTGTAAGCCAAGCTCAGAATAGCTTCTTTGTTCATATGCCCAACTCTCTTCTCCCATATGTATTTTTTTAATTGGCCGGATTCTGTTGGAGTATAATCTAGTTTATTAGGGTTTCTTTTTTCTTTTTTTACCCTTACTATGACTTTATATTTTTGCCTAGACTACAATGATATTTAGGTTGCTTTATATTATTATTTGAATATATATATAGGGGGTTCTACTCTTAATTTTGGTATCTCTTTTATTTACATTTATATCAAGTTGGTATCAGAGCCTAACTCTAATCCTAACCCTAACCCTAACCCCCTGCCAAACATCGACACAGCCACCATCACCTTCAACATTGACACACCT